TTTTGTTTTAAAAATAAAATATCATCCTCACTCTATTTTCCCAGGATGAAACCATGTCTTCTCAGCCCTCCCATGGCCTCCCCATACTCCTTGCTTTAGGAAAAAACAAGTACTTGCTTTTGGTCCACTCAGCATAATCTTCCTCACTCTCTTCCTGGGACCCAGACTCCCATGAATATAAAATAACGTGAGAGACACGATTAAAGCGAGGAAATCTCTTCTTGGCCCTGTCACCAGATTCAGGGTCCGACCCTTTCTAGTCTTTATTCTCTGATCAGGTTGGATAGCGCTTCATTTTATGGCAAAGTTTATGTCAGCATCAATGCTCTCGGTTTCACCATCCCACCTTTGACAACATCCATTCATTGAGTAAACACAGAAATGGAAACCTTTCTATTTTGGGTGAGTAACTTAAGTCTCCATTTCCAATTTGCTCAAATGTCTTAACCCAACAGCATGCTTACTGAGTAATGGGTTGTGGTCTTAGGACCAGATGTCACTAAAACTTGATTATTTGTTGAGAACATTGACGACAGAGAGTTCCTTGCCAAGACATGAAGCAGTTCCCCTCCTCAGTGGGGGTCCTGCTCCCGCCCCGCTAAGCTAGGGCATGGTCAAACTGCCCTTTCTCCAGGCCTTCAAGGCCGTCAGCCCAGGTCGAGGTTGGCATGCTCCGATATGGGTCCAGAAGAATCCGGAAGCACCTGACGATGAGGACGCCCAAGAAAATAAACAGCAAAATCACAAAAGCAAACGTGGTTTTTTGCTCCAGAGACATGCTAGAATCTGACAACGAGTTCCCAAAGGGCACTGGGGGCGAAGGGACGGGCTGTCCTCCATCCATCGTCCAGGGAAGCCAGAGCGCAGGATCGCCCAGTGTCCTCTCCTTCCATTGTCAGTCTGCTGAGATCATGGTGCTTGCACCTTGGAGAGGCTGAGTTCTCTGCAGGAAGAAAGAAAGAGGGGGGAAGGAAATAGCTAACAAAGAGCAACTTTATTTCTAGACTCACAAGCATGTTCTTCAGAGAGAAGAAGGAATCTCTAAATGTTTTCACTGGAGATCCCTAATTCTCTATAATTATGCAGAGGAAGATTTTACTCTTGTATTAAATTACCACGTTGTCCCCAGAGGAGCCACCTGGGGCCAGGAGGGATGGGCAGGGAAGGTAACCAGAGCACAGAAAAGGAGAAATGTGGACCTCAAGGTGTGCTTGCCAACTTGACATCCAAACCCAGCCTCCATGCCAAGTCTCATCTAGATTCTCTCCAATAATATTATTCTTACATCCTCCCTATAATGATACCATTGATTGAACACCGTGCATTAGCCACCCTACTATAAGCACCATGAAAGCAGAGACCTCTATAGCCTCAGTGCAAGGAAACTGAGCCTAGAAAAGGGGCTTGCCCTGGCCAGTGTGG